TTGGAGAAGTCATCCTAGTTGGTGGAATGAGCAGAATGCCCAAGGTAGCACAGAGTAAAGGGAGGGCTGGTGGTCCTTTGGGTAGGGGATATTTTAGCAATCCTAGTAAACCTTGGAATCTTCTCCAAGGTTAGGAGGGCAGTATCTTCCATCAAGGCAGGTTCAAGAAAGAATAAGTCTTTTAAATGGGGGGGAAATCAAGGGTTTAAATCTTGTGGGATTTCCATCCAGTGATCTTGTTCTCCATGCTAGAGTTCCTACATATTGGGCGAAAGTAAAATTGACCTTTTCAAATTGGGATGGCTATTAGGATGCTTTACGACCTCTGAGGTCTAGCCTGCTTCCGTTGCATGGGGGAAGAAATGGAACTTGTCATTCTCTTTAGCAGGAGTATCTGTCTGTACAGGGATGTGTGTTGTCATCAGTGCCTCATTCTGAAGAGACCATTGTAGAGAACACCAGCTACCTGCTGGAGCAATGGTGTTCTTTGCTGGCTTAGCAGCTGTTTGAGAGGAAGTAGAGTTTGATCTGTGAAGGTTAATTTTTCTTTGGAAAACAAGGGATCAGAAAAATTATAAAGTAAAACTAAGAACTCAATCACAACCTGAAAACTTCTAAGTTTGAGAGGAAGTAGAGTTTGATCTGTGAAGGTTAATTTTTCTTTGGAAAACAAGGGATCAGAAAAATTATAAAGTAAAACTAAGAACTCAATCACAACCTGAAAACTTCTAAGTAAAGGCTTGTGTTAGAAGTAGCCCCTCCCACTTGGGGAGTATTTGAGGGAAATTGAAATACTGGTATAACTTCCTTCCCCCCCCATGGAGAATTCCCTAATTTTCCAGAGGTGGATTGGTTCTGATGGAAGTTGAATGACTCCATGAGTGACCAGACTTTTTCCTTGATTCCCTAGGTTCAGCAGACAGTACAAGAACTTTTTGGCCGGGCCCCTAGTAAAGCTGTCAATCCTGATGAAGCTGTGGCTATTGGAGCAGCCATTCAGGGAGGTGTGTTAGCTGGCGATGTCACCGATGTTCTGCTTCTGGATGTCACTCCCCTGTCTCTGGGCATTGAGACATTAGGAGGCGTCTTCACCAAACTGATCAATAGGAACACAACTATTCCAACTAAGAAGAGCCAGGTGAGAACATCTCCAGCCTGTGTTGAGGCTATTTACTTTGTGGAAGAAGGCAGCTTTAGGGCTCTGTTTTCCCAGACAGCCATAAGCAGTTAGACTTAGTCTGCTCTTCTCATTACGGTTTTCCTAGTCCTGAACTTTTCCTTAGGTAGCCTGGCCTTGCTTAGAAATTCTTCTCCTTCTTGATGACTGGTAGCAATGGATGTTGCTTTCTGGTGGTAGGGAAGAATAAGTGCCTTAGCCTATCCAGATCTTGATTTCAGAAAGAGAGGTCAAGAGCTAGGCTCATTGACCAACGGTTCTCATATGCCTTGGGAAGAAAGTTATGGAGTCTGTGTCAGTGTGCTTGTTTGGTCTTTGACAGGAGTAGAGTATGGAGGAGTTTTCTAAGAAACTAAAACTTCTGGTATTTGTGCTGTGATGTTTTTGTCAACCCTTCATTCTGAAGAAAAAAAAAGTATGTGGTAACTTTTAAAACTGAGCACAAAATACAATTTTTTAAAATAAATCCTCTAAAAGTATTTCTCTAGGTCCTTGACTAAAAATTGATAAGCGTATATGTTTCTCTAAATAGTTTTTCCATTAGTTTGACTCACATCTTGCATTTTACCCGCTTCTTCTACAATGATTTTTGGCTGGCATCTAAATGCTGAAGTAGCTGCTGCTTGTCTTATTGCATTTCTGAGCACTTCCATTCCCAACAGGGAAGAAACTGGTATATACACAGTTACCTTCTGACTTTCTCTTTTCATGAAAAATAGGGGAGAAAGGGGAGCCTTAGGAGCTCCTTCCTGTCCATTGACTTGTCTCCTTTCAACATAGGTGTTTTCTACAGCTGCTGATGGTCAGACACAAGTGGAAATTAAAGTGTGCCAAGGAGAGAGAGAAATGGCTGCAGACAACAAGCTTCTCGGACAGTTTACTTTGGTATGTGGTCCTGAAACTAGAAAAGCCTTGTATTCCACAAAGAGTAAATTCTCTCCTGAGTAAACTTAAGACTGTCACCTATAAAATCGAGGTGGCGTGAGGCTTCACCCAGGAGTTTCTAAGTAACAGAATCAGAGTGTACATTGGAGAAAATGGCAATATTTGTGATTAACTGGCAAACCATTTTTGGTTTCTTGAGTTAGAATTTCTCAGAGGGCATTTGAGACTTGTCGATGGAATGGACCCCCACCACCTAAACATCCTAATCTTTTGGAAACGTTCTCGTCTCTGACTAAATTAGTTATTTACGAGAACAATGAGTAGAATTGAGAATGGAAGGCATGGGTCCCTTTCTGTTGTGAGCTTACTCTAACTAAAGTCTTGGTTATATTTCAGATTGGAATTCCACCAGCCCCACGTGGAGTTCCACAGATTGAAGTCACATTTGACATCGATGCTAACGGGATTGTACATGTTTCTGCAAAGGATAAAGGCACAGGACGTGAACAACAAAGTGAGTTTATAAAAAGTAGAGTAAGTACAAAGAAATTTGGGCTAGACCTGTTAGGCTGTAGTTTCCCTCTGGCCTCTAGCTTTCAGAGGCTAGTGAGTGAGTTTTGTTCTCTTCTCCCATTACCTCATTGATGCTAAGGAGAGGTAAGGATGTGCTCCAGACCTGCCTGGTAGTGGCTTGGCCATGAAGTAGTTAAATCTGTAGGCTTGTTGATCCTAGCAGAACATTGAACTTTAGAGCCACTTCTAACTTCCTTTCTGATATAAAGTTTGGGGTTGGTTTACCTGAAAGGCAAAACTTGTTTGCTGGCTTGCTTGTTCAGTTGTTTTAGTTGTGTCCAACTCTTCATGACTCCATTTGGGGTTTTCTTGGCAAAGATTCTAGAGTAGTTTGCCATTTCCTTCTCCATTTGCCAGTGATTGATCACCTACACTGGATGTTGGTGTTGATTTCAAATTGGACTACAAATTACTACTACTTGAAGTCAATGAACAGTGCCATCTACCTTTTGATATACTGTGTGAGGAAGAGGAAAATTAACCAGTACTTTTATCCTTTTTTCTTACTATAGTTGTGATCCAGTCTTCTGGTGGGTTAAGCAAAGATGACATTGAGAATATGGTTAAGAATGCAGAGAAGTATGCTGAGGAAGACAGGAGGAAGAAAGTAATTGCTTTCAGCTTATTCTTGTTTTCTTCTTGGTTTTGTCTATTTCCCCTTCCTCTTTGCCAACCCATTATGCTACCTATCCTTTTAATCCTTCTGAAGTCATTTCAGACTGCTGTAGTCCATTTTATCTCCTGTAACTTATTGTCTCTATTTTGCTGGCGGGGGAGGAGTAGAGTGATCTTGCCTAAAAATAAACACTTACTTTAATAATAATATGGAACCGAAAAGGCAGCTTATCACGGTAGATAAGAGAGCTGGCCTGGAAGCTTCAGTGTTTTTGGCAATTCTGAAGACAGTAAATTGCATAGAAGCAGGGCTGTGCAAATTATACTGATGAAATTATGAAACTGGTATTTGTCTTTCATATTTTCTGCTGTCTTCTCAGAACCTGTTTTCTTATATTTGCTAGACTGATTAGGAGACTATGCGTTAACATCCCACTCTAATACTGGGGCTTATTATCTCACTTAGGAACGTGTAGAAGCTGTCAATATGGCAGAAGGAATTATTCACGATACTGAAACAAAGATGGAAGAATTCAAAGACCAACTTCCAGCAGATGAGGTGAGTTGTGTTTTTAAACCAGCATCAGTCCAAAAAATACTGTTTTGGTAATGACAAGAAGCAAGGAGAAAGTAAGAATGTATATAGACCAATAATTACATGTGTGTTCAAACTTTTTTTCCTTCAGTGCAATAAACTGAAAGAAGAAATCTCTAGAATGAGAGAGCTCTTGGCTCGCAAAGATAGTGAAACAGGGGAAAACATCAGGCAGGCAGCATCTACTCTCCAACAAGCATCATTAAAGCTCTTTGAAATGGCATATAAAAAGGTATGGAGGTTTGTTTTGTTTTTTTGAGCTTTGATAAGGATGGTGATGAGTGGGGAGCCCCATAGGCAGAGTGGCTGATGTGATTTCTTATAGTTGAATTCAGCTAAGGTAGAAGACCCTACCAGCTATTAAAACTTTATTATAAAAGTTTCTCTTCTTGGGTAATAAATGTAGGATGATATGAGTGGGGTACTTATAAGGGTTAGGAGAAGAATGTGAAATTGAAGCTATATTAGCTAAAACAAAGTAACAATAGGGCTTTAGTTTAACAATTTTACAAATATTTTCTTTGTAGATGGCATCTGAGAGAGAAGGATCTGGAAGTTCTACTTCTGGGGAACAGAAGGAAGATCAGAAGGAGGGGAAGCAGTAATGTTGCCAGTTGACCTTGACTGGAGCAGAAATTGGGAAAACATTTGTGAAGCTTGGGAACAAAGGGGCAAAAGGACCTTCCTGAGCAGAAATGGGCAAACTTCAGTCTTACTGTGTTTTTGCAGTATTCTATATATAATTTCCTTGACGTATAAATCTAGTGAGTGTATTAGCTAATTATCATTTGACAGGTAATTCAGATGATAGAGTTCTAAATGTTCACCCCCAGCTTATCTATTTTCCAGCTGCATGTAAGGGGCAGGGGGGATTCACTGATCATTATAAAGGCTTGATACAGTTGTCTGCAGCAGTGACTGTTTTTCCAAGGAGTGAAACAAAACCATGTCACAAAATTGATGGTAGGGGACCACAATCCTTAAAAGACTCAGTAGGGATAGGTCCTTCTAGTAAGCCAAGTACTGATCAGCCATGACTGATGGACTCCTTATCGATAGCCCACGCAGGGTCAGCTGCATTGCCAGAGAAGGGAGAAACTACATTGAAAGAGATGGGGTTTACTTTGATCTAGAACTGTTCTTTTGAAACAAAGTGATTAATAAGGCTCTTCAGTTTACCCAAAGCATTGTTTTCTCCACCTTCTAGCTTTTGCTTTGGGTACCTACTTCCTTGATAATTGTTCTTTTGATCCATTCTGGATTTTTTAAGAAAAATAAATGTGAAAAGAACATTGTTTCGTTTTTTTTTTGTGAAGAGGCCCTAACCAGCCAACTAGCTTCTAAGTGACTTACAGAAAACTCAGTGTGGTTAATGTGAAATAATTAAAAGTGAGTATTTTCTAGTGGCCACAAAAATAGTTTTTCTGAGTGACAACTTTCAGCCTTGGGATTAGCTTGAACATTTTGTCTAACTTTTTTTTTTTTTTTTTTTTTTGCCACTGCACCATCATCACGTGTTTGGAGACTTATCCGCTAAGATTCTTGTGGAATGTTAGAAGTGAAGATCCTAGGTGATTCTAGCAGGTAGTGTGGTCCAGATACCCTCTTCACCAGTCTGCCAGGGATCAGATAGTTCAGACCTCATTGCATTCACATTTGGGAAGTTGCTTATTTCCTTAGGATTGGGTCTTGTATTCATCAGAAGACAGAATGAAGTCACTGTTACATAGCCAGCATAGCTAGGGAAGGCTTAGTGCTATGTGAATACAAACACGAAAAACAGGCCCTGACCTCAAGGAACTAAAATTCAACAGGGGATAGAAAGGGGATGATTTGAAGAAGGGAGCACCAGTACAAAAAGATTTCCTGTAGAGAGTGGCAATTGATGCAAGCCTTGAAGGAAGCTAAGAAGAGGTAAGGGCAGATTAGAAATGCCCAGGTGAAGGGAGAGGGATTCATGTATGAGTTGGTTACTGGATAAAGGTGGTGGGGGTGGGAAGTTTTGGGATAATTTTCTTTTTATATAATGAGTTTCAGATCCCCACAGAGCATATAAAATTAGGGCAGTCAGTGATCTAATACTGAAATTTAGGAGATGGAGATAGAGAGTAATTGCATAGAGATATTTCATGGAACAGATAGGAATGCTTATTCCCTGGAAATGATGGGATCTTTTGGGAAAAGCGACTACTCCCTAGTATTTGTAGATGAGATGCTGACATCTGTCCCAAGTCCGAGGAAGAGTAGATAGAAGCAAAGGAAGGATCCAATGAAATTAAATTCTGTAAAGGAACCTTTTAGCCCAGGTGGGACAAGAAACAAGGAAATTCTGAAGGCACAAAGGGAAAACAATTCTAATGGAAAATGGGGAAATTGTGCCCACACGCAGGGAGCTCAACGACTTAGGTTTTTTAAAAAAAAGATGGAGATTAAAGACAGGTAAGAAGATGAATGTAAGCATGGCAGTTCTATACAAATAACTAGGGGTACTTAAACTCAGAACGAGGTGAAAACTAGTGAGAGACGGTAAAGATTACTAATGGGTGGTTTTCGTTTCAGCCGTATTGGGAGTGCCAAACATGAAAGGGGCATTGCTTGGGTTGCTAACCCATGACAGGCTACTCAGTCATTTTACTTGTGTTTTGTACGGTAGAAAGAATGTAACAGTGGAAATGACAACAAAAATGGCTAACTGGGAGTTGGTAAGATAAATAAGGAGGAAATAAAAGAGTGAGTGCCTCGTTGTCCTTGATTGAAATAACCTTATAACAAGGAGATAAGATAGCTAAGCCCCTCATAACGATGTCAGACTAACTTTATTTCCTTTATTGCTAGTTACTGAATAGATCAGGGAAATATAGGTATAGCTTACCTAGAATCTTACTATTCTGGGAAAAGAGATGGGAACTACACAAAAGAAATGAGAGATGCCAAAGTGTTTGAGGGGCTGGGCTCAAAGGATAGTTTAAGAGTTTGCTGTTGGGGCAGCTGGGTGGTGCAGTGGATAGAGCACCGGCCCTGAAGTCAGGAGGACCTGAGTTCAAGTGCTGGCCTCAGACCAAACACTTGACACTTAGTAGCTGTGTGACTCTGGGCAAGTCACTTAACCCCAATTGCCTAAAACCAAAAAGAAGAGTTTGTTGTCAGTGTGGCAGCAGATCTCCAGTCAAGTGCCATGGAGTTCAGTGTTTGGCCCTGTACTTTTTGACATTTTTATCAGTAACTTGCATAAAGGCAAAGAGAATGTTAATTAAATATGCAGATTTTACAAAGTTGGGATAGCTAATAATGGATAACAGGTTCCAAAAATCTTGACAGTTGAAATTTAATAAGGTGAAATTCAGTAGTAGGGATAAATGCAAGGTTTTATAATGGAGTTCAGATAATTTAAGTACATGATTGGGCAAGTATTATTAACAATTGAAAAAGATCTAGGGGTCACTGAGCCAGGTGTAGTGTGGTAGCCAAAAAAACTAATGTGATCATGGGCTGCACTGAGAGGCAGGCTTAAGTGTTCAGGAGAAAGATGATGGTTTCTCTGTTTTGGTCAGACCACAGCTGGAGTGCCAAAGTTTAGCCATGACACTGAGCCAGCAACATCCAAAGGACTGAAATTAGGATGTCAAAAGGTTTGACTCCATGTTCTACAAGGATTACTTGAAGAAAGTAAGGCACTCAAGAGGGTTGACCTGAGTTCTCTCAGCTAAGGGAGGGGGAAGGATAGTGAGTAGTGTCCGACTCTGAGAGAAATGGGTGCAGGTAGGTGGCACAGTGGATAGAGCACCGGCCCTGGAGTCAGGAAGACCTGAGTTCAAATTCAGCCTCAGACCAAACACTTGCCACTTAGTAGCTGTGTGACCCTGGGCAAGTCACTTAACCCTAACTGCCTAAAAAATAAAAAGGTTTATTAAAAAGGAAAAGAAATGGGGGCCACTAATTTGGATGTACATAAGGATCCCAGTGGGCTCACATATTAACTTAGTTTTAAAATGTAACTTTGGTATTTTTATTTTGTTATATGTTTTCCAATTACATTTTTATCTGGTTCTGGCTACACTTGAGAGTGTTGTGAACTGCATTCAGCCATGGACTGCATGTCTGACACCCAGATATGGAATAGCTGTTGTAGAGGTGCCAATCTTGAAGAAAGTAAACATGTTGGTGTGTAGAAATTAAGGAGCCAGTTGAGATTGGCTCACAGATTAAAAAACTGAAAGGGAGGTGACACAGTGGATACAGCACTGGCCCTGGCCTCAGACGCTTAATTAGCTGTGTGACACTGAGCAAATCACTTAATCCTGATTGCCTCCAATAAATAAATAAATTTTTAAAAGACTAAAAGGGATCCTTCAACTCCTTTATTTCATAATGAATTTGAGGCCTAGGGAAGCTGTGAATTCAAGATCTCATAAATAGCAAGTGGCAGAACCAGAATTCAAACCATAATCCTTTGATTCCAGAGTTAGCTTATTCCTCTGTACCACACTAATCTTTCTGATCCAATTATTTACTCATGATTCAGTTTCTTTCACTGGTATAGAAGCTCTTCATAATTAGTATGCTGCTTTTCCAGCTTTATATTATTCGCTTATATTCATTTTGTTTTGGCTAAACTGGACTACTCTTCTAACCCCACTCTTTGAACACTGGGCTCTTCGGATTCATTGGCTTTTCTTACATTATGCTTGGAATGACCTCTTTCCCCACCTTTTTCTCCTACTGAATTCCAACTTATCCTTTGGAGTCTTAACTGGAAGACCATTTCTGCAATGTGTTCCCCAACACCTGGGGTCAATATCACTTTCCCCACCTTAGACTTCACAGAAGAGTTTTTCCGATTTTAATGTTTATTATAGTGTCCTCACCCTTGTGGACTTAAATGAGGGTAAGACCTGTTTTAGCAAAACTATGCACTGTAGTCACTAGCAGAGTGCTCTGCTCATAACAGATGCTTGATAAAATGTTTATTGAATTGATTAATAGAATCCTCACAAAATGGGGAAGGACCCTAGTGATCATTTGGTCCAATTTCCTTTTATTACAGATAAGGAAACTAGCAATCAGAGAAGAAAGCAATCTGCCCAAGGTCACAATTAAGGGCAAGTCGATGGGAACTTCAGCTCTCCAGACTCCCAGTCAAGTGGCTGGCTGTAGTTCACTGTCTACATTGGCTTAGTCCTTGATAATGAATAGAATCCTTGCAAGGGGAGCTGTGAAATCTGCATTTCTCCTGTCTTGGAACCAAAAGGACTGCCCACTGGAGTGGGCAGCAGTCTTCTAATAACTAATTATCCAACCAATAGTCATGCCACTTTCCTTACTGATAACTGGAGCCTGCAGCATTGGAGAATAATAGGAGAGAGAAGTTTTGAGCGGCTTTGTTTTTTGCTGCACGTGATAGGGCCTTGACTCATTCTGAAGGATAAGTATAGTGGAAACCACTGACAATAATGATGGGTCTACTAATGACCCAGCAACAGCCTTAAAGCCTACCACACTGAAAAAACTAGGGGACAGTAAGAGCATCTGGAGCAGGCCTGTACAACACATGGCCCACGGACCACTTGTGGCCTGCCAAAGGACTTCAGACAGCCCGTGAAAATCTCCAAACAAAATAATGCTACATTCCATGGGAGTAATAATAGCACCTACCTCAGGGTTGTTATGAAGATCAAGTGAGATGGCATACATGAAGCACTTTTCAAAGCCTAAAAAGTGCTATTAAATGCTATTGTTATTACCACCACTAGGAAAAGATGACAAGTAGCCTTGTAAAAGAAAGATGCACCAAGTGCTTTGTCCATGCCCTGCTTAACCTGCCTTCACTAGTCACCATTGTCCCTGTCATGTAACTTGGCAGGTGCATTGCCACTGTGCACTCCTGTTTAAAACGTGACTTGTGGAACCAACCGTCATCGGTCTGTCTCTAGTCTAAGAGGAGCGATTTCATGATCAATAAAAACGCTAATTAATTAATTGATATTAATTGGAATTTTCCTTTTTTAAAATATGGTTTATTTGCAAAATAGTTTAATCATTAATTATACCTTTACTTGGAAAGTGAGTTGCTAAAAATATCTGTGGCCTGAAGAAGTTTAGCCTATTTTAATTTTGGCCCCTGCCTACTGCCACATGGTGCAGGTCTGATCTACAGAAATATTTGACTGAAGTAAAAATGCTCCAGGATGGTGGAGTTTTAATGGTGAAATTGCAGGAAGTACAATTTAGTTCCACTACGCACCTCCACAAAGATCTAAAAAAACACACCAGCCTGATTGGGAAATCCAAGAAAAAAAATCAAGTCATTTGCAACCAAGGTCAGCATAGGGAGATGAGGAGGTCTGTGGACTCTGAGTCTGGGTTCTGGGCAGGGGCATTACAAGCACAGGATTCCAGGGTTCAGGAACTGAAAAGAGGATTGAGGCTCTGCATTAGGGCAAAAAGAGGGAGGTTCCAGACAACTCTAAAAGATACTGACCCTGTGGATGATGTGGGAATAGGTACCAATGATCAGTTTTGTCATTTGCTACCCATTCTGCTAGGTCATAGACCTAGGAGGGACTGAGAAAGGAACACCTCCTACACCTAAGATTGACGTTCCAGGGTGAGGAACAGTGGTGGGCCTGAGACTGAGGTAAGAACATGGCAGGAAACAAACCATGCTTTGTGGTTCTGACCCCAGGAGCTGAGCAGGGTCTGATTTTCAGGGTCCAGCATAGTCTGATGCTTGCAGTAGAATCACCAGGGCAGGAATCCCAGGCTAAAGGTGAGCCTGCAGTTCTGTCACTGAACCTGAAGAGCTTTCCATTTGACTGATAACTGGCTGAGTTAGGAACTTAGTTAAACAAACACTTAGTGAACACTACTGAATTTACAAAGCACTACAATAGATGCTGGGGATACAAAGGTAGAAATGAAACTCCAGGAGCAGTCTACTCTAACTTCCAACCAGAGGCATGTCAAAAGGAGTGTTGCACAGGCCCAAACCCAGGTCAGGAACTTACAGAGCTAACACCAGGATGGTAGTTGAAAAGACTTTTCTCTGAAATAAAGCCTCTTTGGGAGCCCTAAAAGATTTCAGGTCCCTGGCCTGAGCTGTCCCTGAGATCCTGCAACAATAGAATCTTCAATACCCCAAGAAAGTAGCAAAAGGATCCAAGAGAGAATTGATGCAAAGTGAAGTGAGTAGAACCAGGAAAACGTTGTACACAGTTACAACACTGCACAACAAGGAACTGTGAACGACTTAGCTATTCTCAACAATATAGTGATCCAAGACAATCCCAAAGGACTCATGATGAAATGTGCTTTCTGCCTCCAAAGAAAGAACTGATACTGTCTGAATACAGACTGAACCATGCTATTTTTCACTTTCATTCTTTTTTTTTAATTCAAGTCTTGTACAAAATGACTAATATGGAAGTGTTTTACATGATTATACAAGTATAACCTATATCATATTGCTTACTGTCTCAGGGAGGAGGGAAGGGAGGGATTTGGAACTCAAAACTTTAAAAAGAGCAAAAGTCTAGTCCAGACATTCTGCCCATAACTGCGCAAAACAAAGTCTGAAGTCAGGAAGTAGGTTGGAAGAATGAGTAAACAAATTGAAAAAGAATCCTACAACAAAGAAATGCTGTGGTGACAGGAACACTCAGGACACAAACCCAGAAGAAAATTACTCTGGAACAACCAATATCCAAATTCTAAAACATCTAGATTCATACTCATGACAGTAAAAGGTACATAGGATAGACTATAGGTTATAGAACTTAATAACAAGATTCATATTTACCATGTCTTGCTTTCATCTGAGTCACGGGTTGGCTTTATCAGATGACCTTCATGTCAACAATAATCAGTTACCAGAGAAAGTGGCTTGGTAATTGCAGATAAAAATCATGTTGGGGAAACAAGGAAAGAAAAGCAACACACTGCTGTACATTATACTTATTCGGGTCTAAGACTCCCCATATTTAGTCGTCATAGGGCCTAAAGTGAGGTATAGCACAAAATCTCGTTAGACAGTTTAAATTAGGCAGCAAAATCATAGCAACTGAGTGAACTGTTGGTGAGCCACGGTGCAACTGTGAAATATATACATAGGGGAAATAGGGACTAAGCATTTATACAGTGAAGCAGTCCCTAAACTTATTTGGCCTACTGCCCCCTTTTCAAAAAAAAAATTACTCAGTGCCCCCCTGGAAATCTACTTTCTTTAACCCTTTAATTTTTTTATTTTTTGAAATTTGCATCATTTCAAATATATATATATATATATATATAATATATCTTAAGTTTAATATTTTAAATTTGTGGGGTGTTTCCTGCAAATTTCCTGAAATTTTGATGACACAATATTATATCACATAACTATAGTATTGTAAACAAGTCATTATATGCACACATTCTTGCCTATGCATGCTGGACTTCATGAAAATGCACAACATACTTGTTAAGACCTATTGGTGGGCCAGTGTCTCTGATAAGGGCCTCATTTCTAAAATACAGAGAATTAAGTCAAATTTATTAGAATGCAAATCATTCCCCAATTGATAAATGGTTAAAGGATATGAACAGGCAGTTCTCAGATGAAGAAATTAAAGCCATCTATAGTCATATGAAAAAATGCTCTAAATCACTATTGATTAGAGAAATGCAAATCAAAACAACTCTGAGGTATCACATCACACTTATTAGATTGGCCAACATGACAAAACAGGAAAAGGACAAATGTTGGAGAAGATGTGGGAATATTGGAATACTAATGCATTGCTGGTGGAATCATGAAATGATCCAACCATTTTGGAGAGCAATTTGGAAATATGCCCAAAGGGCTATAAAAATGTGATTACCCTTTGACCCAGCAATAGCACTTCTAGGGTTGTATCCCAAAGAGATCATACAAATGGGAAAAGGACCCACGTGTACAAAAATATTTATAGCAGTTCTTTTTGTGGTGGCAAATAATTGGAAATTGAGGGGGTGCCCATCAATTGGGGAATAACCGAACAAGTTGTGGTATATGAATGTAATGGAATACTATTCTATAAGAAATGATTAACAGGCTGACTTCAGAAAAACCTGGGAAGACTTATATGGTCTGATGCTGAGTGAAGTGAGCAGAACCAAGAGAACGTTGTACACAGCAAAAGTCACGTTGTGCAATGACTAACATTGATAGACTTAGCCCTTCTCAGCAATTCAAGGACCTAAGACATCTCCAAAGGTCTCATGATGGAAAATGCTATCCACATCCAAAGAATGAACTATGGAGTTTGAATGCAGATCAAAGCATACTATTTGCTATTTTTTTCTTCTGTTTTATTTCCTCTTTCTGATGGTTCCTCCTATTGGTTCTAATTCTTCCTTACAACATTACTAATATGAAGATATGTTTAATAGGAATGTATACGTATAGCCTATATCAGATTGAGCACTGTCTTTGGGAGGGGGAGAAAAATTTAAAACTCAAAAGCTTATGGAAGTGATTGTTGATAAATCAAAATAAATTTTAAAAAAACAGCTAGGCGGCACAGTGGATAGAGTACTGACCCTGGAGTCAGGAGGACCTGAGTTCAAATCAGGTCTCAGACTACTGAAAACTCGCTAGCTGTGTGACCTTGGGCAAGTCACTTAACCCCAATTGCCTTGCAGCAAAAAAAAAAAGACTTGTTGTTGGATTTGACCACTGATGGGTTGGTTATAACTTGTATTTTGTGTTTATTTGGAAAATAATGTAATCACTATGACTTTAACAGACTTAATTTGTTACACAACAGATTAAATATGTACAGTGTTTCAGAATTTTCTTCTCTTCTTTCCTTATGATTCCACTGCCCCCTTATTTTTATTCAAAGCCCCACAACTGCACCCCACGCTACTATTGACCCCCTGGATCATTCCAGCATCCCCCAGGGGGCGGTATTGTTCACTTTGGGAACCTCTGTGCTACTATACTGTGAGGCACTGTGCTAAGCACTTCACAAATGTTATCAATTTGGTCAATATTGTGAAAGCCCTGAAGAATCACTTCAAACATCAGCAACTGCTACTATATGTGCCTATTTCCCATCTACATAAAATCTTTGAGACTCATCAAGATGTGAATCAAGGGCATCTGCAATGGAGGCAATAATCGGGAATTAGTAGGAACCTCTTCAATGAATTCACAAGTGACTGAAAAAGGAAGATAAGGAATACAAAATCCCATTGTTTATTATTTGTTGATTATGAAAACATTTTATTTGATAAAGCAAAACGCTGTTTTACAGGCTCTCTTCCAACAAGGTGTTTCTCACCCAAGATATCCACATAATTCAAAGATTCCTTCTTGGTTTTTGTTTTGTTTTTTTAAAGGCAATTGGGGTTAAGTGACTTGCCCAAGGTCACACAACTAGTAAGTATCAAGTGTTTGGTCTGAGGCCAGATTTGAACTCAGGTCTTCCTGACTTCAGGGCTGGTGCTCTATCCACTGTGCCACCTAGCTGCCCCACAAAGATTCCTTCTCAACAGATTCTTAAGTAACAGAGATAATTGTTAAATAGCCCTCTGACCATAAAACATCAAGCAAGGACCAAATAGGAGAGGTGTATGTTTGTCAAAGGTGTTCACACCATTGTAATACAGATCCAATGTAGAATCCAAGCTGAAGAGGGATTCCCTGTGAATGGCCAAGTCCTCCAGATTTTCCTGTTTGCAGATGACAGACATATTCATGTCAAGCCCGGGAACAACACAGAGTGTAACAGATCTGTAACCACTTATTTTTGTGTGTTTTTTTGGCTAGGCAATGGGGTTAAATGACTTGCCCAGGGTCACACAGCTAGTAAGTGTTATGTGTCTGAGACCGGATTTGAACTCAGGTCCTCCTAACTCCAGTGCCAGTGATCTATCCACTGTGCCACCGAGCTGCCCCTAACCACTCATTTTTGCCCTGACCACCCCCAGGATATCATGTGCCTGTTCAGACACACATGC